TCTATAGAAAAAGTTGCTCTGTGACAGACAACTTTTCTATAGAAAAAGTTGCTCTGTGACAGACAACTTTTCTATAGAAAAAGATGCTCTATGACAGACAACTTTTCTATAGAAAAAGTTGCTCTGTGACGAGTGCAACTTTTCTATAGAAAAAGTTGCTCTGTGCAAAAAACTTTTCTATATAAAAATTAATTATGGTAAATATTTGTGTACAATGTATTGAAGAGAAAAATCTCTTATAAAATTAAATAATTTGCAATTTCCACTAATATTAAAACCGTTCAATCAATTTGCATTTCTTGACCCCCTCATCTATGACCGCTGTTGGTAACACAATCATCTTTATGGTACGTGCAATGTAATTATTTGAACTCCATATTAAAATACACCAACCAGTACATATAATTTTTTTTTTATTAAGTATGCATGGTTTTCATTATTTAAATATTTATTTTTTTTATTGTCCATCTACTTATACAGTTTTTTGTTGTGTTGTAGCAGCCATTAAACTTCCCTTTTGTTTTTTTTTCGTATTTTTTATTATTGACCACTACCATTGCAGTGGTTTGCCAGGATCGTATGCACATTAAAGGAATACTGATGTGGATAATTTTAAGTGGTTGTTGTGTGGGTGTTATAAATTCTGTTGTTTATTTTATTATAATTTTCTTCATGTTGTTTTTTTTTTTTTTTTATTTCGCTTATTGTTACATTTTTTATGATTTAACAGAAGAATAGAGAAGTTGCAGGGATATTATTAACTTATTTAAATTAAATTTATAAAACAACAGCAATTTGTGATAAATTTATTCTCCACTTGCCTGTTGTAGCTGTAACGAGTGCAAAATTTTAATAACTCTTTGTCGTTATGACACCAATTCTACTCCTCCTACTTTCAACACTTGCCGATATTATGCTCACTTTTTTTAAGGATAAAACTTTCACATATGTTTTGGGCTACAAAATGTTCACATTACCAATTTACATAATTAACATTTGACGTTTTCACACTTAATACTTACAACTATAATACAACCCTACAAACACGATGAAAGATGTTAATAGAACAGCTAAAAGAACAATGGGGATAAAATCAGTAAAATTACCATACATTCTCAAACACACACACACACAATCAATTTATAACGATACACACACACATTCACACAATAATATATACATATGTATACATATGTATATATGTGTATAACATGTATGAGGGCGACACGCAACAAGCCTAATTGAATTTTAAAGTACGTTTAATTTAATTAAAAGTTCGTCACGTAATTAACTGTTAATGTTAATTAACTTTTAATACCGATACATACACATATGTATGTATTCTATACACTCACACACATTCATGAAAATAAAGTCAATTGTATTGATATTATTTTCAATACAACCACTATTGATAAAAAAAAAATTACTCCAACTACTTACTATAACTATGTATTACTACAGTAGCTTTTGTTTCGACTACCGTATGCATACTTTAACAATACTGTAACTACTTTATGCAGCAGAAATTATCAGTCGTGTACTACCAAAACACATACAACGTCAAGGCAATAATCAGCTCCATTCAGTCACGCAACAATATTAATATGATTTAGACATAATTTTTATATAAAAAAAATGTTTTTCTATAGAAAAAGTTGCTCTCTGACAGACAACTTTTCTTTAGAAAAAGTTGCTCTGTGACAGAAAACTTTTCTTTAGACAAAGTTGATCTGTGACAGACAACTTTTCTCTAGAAAATGTGGCTTTAACACAGACAACTTTTCTATAGAAAATGTGGCTTTGACACAGACAAATTTTCTATAGAAATTGTTGCTCTGACACAGACAACTTTTCTATAGAAATAGTTGCTCTGACACAGACAATTTTTCTATAGAAATAGTTGCTCTGACACAGACAACTTTTCTATAGAAATAGTTGCTCTGACACAGACAACTTTTCTATAAAAATAGTTGCTCTGACACAGACAACTTTTCCATAGAAATAGTTGCTCTGACACAGACAACTTTTCTATAAAAATAGTTGCTCTGACACAGACTTTTCTATAGAAAAAGTTGCTCTGTGACAGACAACTTTTCTATAGAAAAAGTTGCTCTGTGACAGACAACTTTTCTATAGAAAAAGTTGCTCTGTGACAGACAACTTTTCTATAGAAAAAGTTGCTCTCTGACAGACAACTTTTCTATAGAAAAAGTTGCTCTCTGACAGACAACTTTTGCTCTGTGACAGACAACTTTTCTATAGAAAAAGTTGCTCTGTGACAGACAACTTTTCTATAGAAAAAGTTGCTCTGTGATAGACAACTTTTCTATAGAAAAAGTTGCTCTGTGACAGACAACTTTTCTATAGAAAAAGTTGCTCTGTGACAGACAACTTTTCTATAGAAAAAGTTGCTCTGTGACAGACAACTTTTCTATAGAAAATGTTGCTCTGTGACAGACAACTTTTCTATAGAAAATGTTGCTCTGTGACAGACAACTTTTCTATAGAAAATGTTGCTCTGTGACAAACAACTTTTCTATAGAAACTGTTGCTCTGTGACAGACAACTATTCTATAGAAAAAGTTGCTCTGTGACAGACAACTTTTCTATAGAAAAAGTTGCTCTGTGACAGACAACTTTTCTATAGAAACTGTTGCTCTGTGACAGACAACTTTTCTATAGAAACTGTTGCTCTGTGACAGACAACTTTTCTATAGAAAAAGTTGCTCTGTGACAGACAACTTTTCTATAGAAAAAGTTGCTCTGTGACAGACAACTTTTCTATAGAAAAAGTTGCTCTGTGACAGACAACTTTTCTATAGAAAAAGTTGCTCTGTGACAGACAACTTTTCTATAGAAAAAGTTGCTCTGTGACTGACAACTTTTCTATAGAAAAAGTTGCTCTGTGACAGACAACTTTTCTATAGAAAAAGTTGCTCTGTGACAGACAACTTTTCTATAGAAAAAGTTGCTCTGTGACAGACAACTTTTCTATAGAAAAAGTTGCTCTGTGACAGACAACTTTTCTATAGAAAAAGTTGCTCTGTGACAGACAACTTTTCTATAGAAAAAGTTGCTCTGTGACAGACAACTTTTCTATAGAAAAAGTTGCTCTGTGACAGACAACTTTTCTATAGAAAAAGTTGCTCTGTGACAGACAACTTTTCTATAGAAAAAGTTGCTCTGTGACAGACAACTTTTCTATAGAAAGAGTTGCTCTGTGACAGACAACTTTTCTATAGAAAAAGTTGCTCTGTGACAGACAACTTTTCTATAGAAAAAGTTGCTCTGTGACAGACAACTTTTCTATAGAAAAAGTTGCTCTGTGACAGACAACTTTTCTATAGAAAAAGTTGCTCTGTGACAGACAACTTTTCTATAGAAAAAGTTGCTCTGTGACAGACAACTTTTCTATAGAAAAAGTTGCTCTGTGACAGACAACTTTTCTATAGAAAAACTTGCTCTGTGACAGACAACTTTTCTATAGAAAAACTTGCTCTGTGTCAGACAACTTTTCTATAGAAAAAGTTGCTCTGTGACAGACAACTTTTCTATAGAAAATGTTGCTCTGTGACAGACAACTTTTCTATAGAAAATGTTGCTCTGTGACAGACAACTTTTCTATAGAAAATGTTGCTCTGTGACAGACAACTTTTCTATAGAAAATGTTGCTCTGTGACAGACAACTTTTCTATAGAAAAAGGTGTTTTGTGATAGCCAACTTTTCTTTAGAAAAATTTGCTCTGTGACAGACAACTCTGCTCTGCTCTGTAATAGACAACTTTTCTTTAGTTTGCTCTGTCTTAGGCAACTTTTCTTTAGAAAAAGTTGCTCTGTGTTAGGCATCTTTTCTATAGAAAAAGTTGCTCTGTGCTAGGCAACTTTTCTATAAATAAAGTTGCTCTGTGTTAGGCATTTTTTTTTAATAGCTCAGTTTCAAATAACTATGTTTCAGATAAAAAGAAAGCATTTTGCGAATATCTTCCTTAGAGTATTGTTTTACTTTTAAAGAATTCTTCAGCATATGCCAGATAATTTGTATTCCAATATATTAAAAAAACTAAACCACTAGAGAGGGGTGAAAGACATCAATACCGAATAAATTCCACGGAAAAGGGTGGCTTGACTGTTTTTTGTTTTCAATATTAATGAGTAAAACTGTCTATAATTTATAACATTTTGTTAATGAAAATACATATACTTACATACCGATAGAGTAGAGGTAGTACTGCTGCTTTTCGTAAGGATTAAAAAGGGATAAAATAAGTTCTGTTTTCATATATATATATATATATATGTATAACGTTATTGTTTTATGTTTTCTCAGTTTAAGAAATAACCAGAACATTGTATAAAGAATGAAATGAAAAATTTTTAGTATAATTAATAAATGTGTAAGAAAAGTTACATAAATTTACATAGTAGTTATATACATACATACAGATATACAATTTAATAAAATAATATTAGTGTAAATTTCTTTAGATTAATTAGTTTAGATGTTTGTATGTATAAGAACAATAACTAAAGATAAAATTTTGAAAAGTAAGCTGAAATGAGGTTGGATATAAAAATGTTATTTAAAGCTTTTGAAATAAAGCTTTAAAGCTTTTTTAATATTTTAAAAGCTTTAAGAGCTTTTAAAATTTGTTTAAACTTTCAAAATTTTAAAACTAACTTTGGTAAAGAAAAATCTTTTTATAACAGAAAGTATATAAACTAAGCTTAATCTTTTAAGTTAACTTTAAGTAAAAATAGCTTTTAAGTTATATAAAAATCAAAAGCTCACTAAGATCTACTAGCATAATGAGATTAAAAAACATTCTAAATTTTATTTATATTAATAATATGATTTTCTTTTCTTTTTTATTTATTTTTATGTTGATTTCTAAACTAAATGCTTCTACACTACAAAACTACACATGACATTTTGAAACTACAACTACACAACTACATACTACACTTCTTCCCCTTAAAACAAACAACAACAAAAACAGCTGTTTAAACCCTGTACCACAAAAACTTCCATTGTCAATCGTTCTTTTGATGAAATGGGAAATTTATTGTGGCAACAAGAAGCAGCTGAATTTGTAGAGCAGTATCCCCAACGTAGAAGACCTAAAACTGCCGCATTACTATTACGACAAAGTGCCTCGGCTGGTACTTTGTATCGTAAACCGGAAACTGTAGTGCCCATATTGAATAAACGTGCTAGTGGTGGTGAATTATTGACTGCACAGCAAAGACATCAACGTGATTTGTTCAGTGGTGACTTGGGTATACCCGATGTCAATAGTCATGTCGGTAGTATGGTGCATACTTTCGAAAACATGGCCCTGCAAAGACGTTTAGCCGAACGACAACGTGAACAGCAAGAAAGAGAACACAGTAAGTATATAGCCGAACTAATGGCCCTGCAGGCTGCAGCAGAGGCACAGGCACAGGCCGGTGCCGCCATAGTAGCCACTACCACTACAACAAAACGAACCTTCATACCCTCATCTGGCACTCACAGTAACAACAGCAAGTTTCAGCAATTAAAAAAGAAAACTCATGAGACTAGACAGAAAATCATACAGCAGATATTGCAAAATCATCCCCTGCATAAAGATGTTACTAATATACAGAGCACTCCGCGTCATCTACAGGGGGCTCGTCAAGCTTCCTCCAATTCAGAAGTGTACTATCGTAATATAGATGAGGATTATCGTAAAAATTTATTTGGCACTCTAACAAAAAGAAAAATAAAACCCGAAGAACTGCCTCAAGTTATAAACACCACTACATCAGATGTAGAATCCTCGAGTTTTTGTGATGAAATTGTCGCTCAAGCATTTGATGAGATTTTTGAAGGTTATAGTGGCTTAGAAGAGGATGAGGAAGAGCTAAAGGAAACTAAAAAACCCACTACAACTTTAATGCCTGACTTTAGCAATACCTCTAATTTTCTTAATCAATATGGCAAACCCGGTTTGACACCCAAAAAGTTACCACCCCTAATGTTGCACAAAAAGTCAGCGGCTCCTCCACCGCCCGCTTCCTATCAAACCTCCTCCTCCACCAGTCATACAAAACGTAAAATTATGCCATTTTTAGAAAATAAACACAGATCCTCTACCATACACAATCTATTTGAACGTCTCAAGACCCCACCCAAAAAAGTGCATAATAATCATAAACTAAATAAAACACCCTCCGATAGTTTACTTAAAACCGAACCCTTATTCCCCAGTAGTTCACAATTTTTACATAAATTTCCCGCTCATTTACATCTCAATCGTGAGGTAGAGGGCCAGGAGAGTAATGAAAATTTAGATCAAGATTTTCTAAGAGGTTCTACAGTTTCACAATCATTTGTTAGACATTTAAAGGTTCATAAACCCTCTAAGGGTAAAGCTCCTCCCGTACCTTTAGAAACTCAAAGTGCCAAGAAACCATTAAAGACTAGTGAGGCTTTAAGGCAGGTTTTATTATTTTCCAAAAAATCCCGTTCATCAGATGAACTATTGCCCGATAATTATACTACAGTGGAAACACGTAAGTATTATCGTCGTTTAGATGACGAAAAGCCTATGAACGAAGCAAGAGTTTCACATAGAAAAACGGCTGATGGTAGTAGTGGTTTAGTTAATAGTGAAAAATTGCAGGATCTGCAAAATCAGGTAGTAGAGATATAAAGCGTTAGATCAAGCTAGTAAGTTTTTAAATAGAAATGCTCAATTTTTTAAGCTCAAATTTATTTTCTAGAAGTAATAATTTAAAAAAATTAGGTCAACAATATTTAAGCATTTTTTTAACAATTCCTGTATCTCATAAATTAAGCATTTATAAGCATTTAATTATTTATAGAGCATTTTAACCCATTAATAAAAGTAATGCACAGTATTTAATAAAAACATAACTCATTGACTTAATCACCACTTAATACTGTCATAAAAACCCCTTTCGCTATAGAGTGTAAAGAATGCGATCTTGGTAGTTTGGAGAGTTACTCAGCGATCTTTTATCTAAAAGAAACCTCCGTTCTACGTTCTTCGACAAGTAAAAAGTCGAAAAATCGCGGATTTGTTTCTAGAAACCAAATGATAAATAAAAACTTTTCACTTTTCCCATGATCTTTTCCACTTCTTCTGGCTTTATAACATCGATCTCCAATTAATCAAACAACAGCAATTTCAGTTACAGCTCATGAAAGTTTAGTGGACATGATGTACATGACAATCACCACCTAATACTGTCATTAAACACCCTTTCGCTATAGAGTGTAAAGAATGCGATCTTGGTAGTTTGGAGAGTTACTCAGCGATCTTTTATCTAAAAGAAACCTCCGTTCTACGTTCTTCTTGATCCACTTATTCTGGATTTATAACATCGATCGCCAATCAATCAAATAACAACAATTCCAGTTACAGCTCATGAAAGTTCAGTGAACATTATGTCCGAATTCACTTAATCCGAAACGATCTTAGCAAGTTTCAGCGACTAATATAGCGATCGACGATCAATAGGAATCAAAAGGAATTTCTATTTCCTACAAGTCATGATCCACACTCTTTTGTTATATTTCTAACTATATTTCACAAAAGATCTATTTGATACACATTTAACACCTTCCTGGCTAGAAAAAGTCGTCATGCGTAGAGGTTCTTAGTGATCTCTTTTGGGAGCGGAACACTGATCGACAATTAGAATCAAGGGATTTAAGCAGGGAAATTAATTCGCTTTTAAGAAATATTTTGGAAAGTAAAATAGGGATTGGCCCTAATACGGCAGATAATTTAAATTCTAGAGATCGTCCTAGTAGAATCTTCATAGTGATCAGCAACAGCGGAATATCAAAAGATTTAAAAGTAGGGAATTTATTTGTGCAATTATCATGTCAAAATGATCATGAAGATCATTTTGACTGTTTCCAGACAAATTTTTGACTTTTTTATTGAAATATCATCGATCTTTAATCGGTTGTCGGGTGCTTAGCCCATACTACCAGAAAATCTATAAACACATATGTGCCGAAATTCAATCGATAATTGCGATCATGAGGCCGGGTTTTTGGTTTTTTGCCTATCAATGTTTGATAATAACTATTTCTCTTTTAGCAACCGGGGCTCTTTAGTGCAAGAGAAATTTTTAAGCATAAATGATAAGAAAGGAAACCTATAGTACCATAGAAAACTCTTCACTCGTATTAGAAGTTTTGCCACAGACTACATGATTCTCTTGTTTTGGGAATTTCTAGAAAAGCGTTTTGAATAAATTACAACAATTGAAATTGTGATTGTAAAAATTGCGAATTGTGATTAAACAAGATCACCTTGTAATGATTATGGAATTGAAACTTAATTTCGGGACTATATCATCGTGTTTCACTTCAGACACTTCCATATTAAGTTATATGATCGAGATTTTAAGGCGATCTCGCTATGTCCGTCCGTCTATTTGTTTGATCAAAAAACTGGCAAAAACGATCTATATTTATCAACATGATCACTTCTACTTCTCAAACTCTATATTTTGTGCAGAAAAATCAATATTTTGTATGAAAATGTTGATCGAACCTAAAAACCCTTATAACTCAGTAAATACGGGGATTTTTGAGAAAATAAGCTTAATCTGTGATCACTTCGACTTTTTTATAAAAAATCAATCACTTAAGCAGAAAAGACAATATTTTGAACGAAAAAGTTGATCAAACCTAAAAAACCCTTATAACTCGGTAAGTACTGGGTCTTTAAAGGAAATAAGCATAAACTGAGATCACTTTTACTTTATATCAAAAATCGTTATTTTAAGCAGAAAAATCAATATTTTGTATGAAAATGGTTATCAAACATAAAAACCCTTATAATTCAGTAAATACCGGGATTTTTAAGAAAATAAGCTTAAACTGAGATCACTTCGACTTTTTCATAAAAATCGATATTTTAAGCAGAAAAATCAATATTTTGTAAGAAAATGTCGATCAAACTTAAAACCCCTTATAACTCAGTAAATGTTGGGTTTTTTGAGTAAAAAAGCTTAATGGATGATCACTTTTAGTTTTTATCAAAAATCGATCATTTGAGTAGAAAAATCAATATTTTGTATGAAAATGTTGATCAAATCTAAAAACCCTTATAACTAAGTAAATACTGGGTTTTTTAAAGAAAATAAGATTAAACTGAGATCACTTCGACGTTTTCATAAAAATCGATATTTTAAACAGAAAAATCAATATTTTGTAAGAAAATGTTGATCAAACTTAAAAACCCTTATAACTCAGTAAATACTGGGTTTTTTCAGAAAAAAAAGCTTAATGGATGATCACTTTTAGTTTTTATCAAAAATCATCATTTGAGTAGAAAAATCAATATTTTGTATGAAAATGGTGATCAAATCTAAAAACCCTTATAACTCAGTAAATACTGGGTTTTTTAAGAAAATAAGCTTAATCTGTGATCACTTTTAATTTATAACAAAAATCGATATTCTAAGCAGAAAAATCAGTATTTTGTACGAAATTGTTGATCAAATCTAAAAACCCTTATAACTCAGTAAATACTGGGTTTTTTAAGAAAATAAGCTTAATCTGTGATCACTTTTAATTTATAACAAAAATCGATATTCTAGGCAGAAAAATCAGTATTTTGTACGAAATTGTTGATCAAACCTAAAAACCCTTATAACTCAGTAAATACTGGGTTTTTTGAGAAAATAAGCTTAATCTGCGATAACTTCGACTTTTTATGAAAAATCGATCATTTGGGAAGAAAAATCAATATTTTGTATGAAAATGTTGATCAAACCTAAAAACCCTTATAACTTCATAAATACTGGGTTTTTTGAGAAAATAAGCTTAAACTGTGATCACTTTGACTTTATGTCAAAAATCGATCATTTGAGTAGAAAAATCAATATTTTGTAAGAAAATGTTGATCGCACCTAAAAACCCTTATAACTCAGTAAATACTGGGTTTTTTGAGGAAATAAGCTTAATCTGTGATCACTTTTACTTAATATCAAAAATCGGTAATTTAAGCAGAAAAATCAATATTTTGTAAGAAAATGTTGATCAAACCTAAAAACCCTTATAACTTCATAAATACTGGGTTTTTTGAGAAAATAAGCTTAAACTGTGATCCTTTTGACTTTATGTAAAAAATCGATCATTTGAGTAGAAAAATCAATATTTTGTATGAAAATGTTGATCGCACCTAAAAACCCTTATAACTCAGTAAATACAGGGTTTTTGGAGAAAATAAGCTTAATCTTGGATCACTTCTACTTTATATCAAAAATCGATATTTTAGGCAGAAAAATCAATATTTTGTATGAAAATGCTGATCAAAACTAAAAACCCTTATAACTCAGTAAATACTGGGTTTTTTGAGAAAATAAGCTTAAACTTCGACTTTATAACAAAAATCGATATTTTAAGCAGAAAAATTAGATCAAAAGAATATCTCAAAAATTATTTCAAATTTCATTCCTTACAATTTTATATGAAGGTTTTTTATGACATTTTTTCCCTAATCTCCATACAAAAACTGTGCATTACTAATTAAAGTCATTTTCTAATTAATATTTATTTTTAAGTCTTTTAATAAACTAAACAATAAAAATTACTTTAAGAAATTGTAATTGAACTTAACTCATGACTGATTTTATTTAATTTCACCAAAGATTTGTTTGTGTATAAATTAATTTAATTTTAAAACTGTAAATAATAAAATAAAAAATATAAATTAATATTAATAAAAAAAAGCTCAACTAAAATTTACAAAATATATTAAAAAAAAGTTAAACAAACTATATATAAACTATGACTGATTTTATTTGCTGAATACCAAAAAAAAAAAAATAAGACAAATTATTAAAAGAAAAACTCTCTTTACTAAAGTAAACTAATTTTTTTTTTTTAATTTTATTTAATTATTTTCTTTCTTTTTTTAAAATAACAAACAGAAAAAGCTACTTTTTATAGAAAAGTTAAATTTGTTGAAAATTGAGTGAAAAATCAAAAAAAGAATAATAATAATTCCCCGCCGCCAAGAGGACAAAACGATTTTGCCATAAATTTGAAAAAAACCAAAAAAAAAATATTTTATTTAAATTTTATTTAATAAAAAATTAAATTAAAAATTATGTTTAAAATGAACACAAATTAAAAACAAATTTATAACAATATTAATGTACAAATTAATTATTTAAAACCAAAAATAAAAAAAAAAAAAACAAACTTCCAAGAAAAAAATAAACAAAATTAATTTTAAATATAAACTAATAACAACAAAAAAATATTTAAAATATTTAAATTTATAAAAAGAAAAACAAAAACTTTGTTCTGCATGTTAAATTTAAGTACAACAATCTAATAATTTATAACTGCATAAAAAAAAACATTAAGGGTAATCACAGTTACAAAGTTTTCTAAAACAAAAACAAACATTTTAAACACCAAACTCCACTAACACTTTTATTTCTTAAGGAATTTTTGAAAAATTCCTTTTTGAACAAAAACTTGCAACTGTGTTTACTTTGACAAAAATTTACATTTGTATTTAAAACGCCCAATTTATGTCCATATTTCCTACCCCCTCCCCCACCATTCTTTACCAAATTAAGAAACAGCAAAAACAAAAAAAGAATCTTTGTATGTTTCCCCTAAGGTAAAATTAAATTTAAATTTAAATAAATTACAAAAACAAAAACATATATTATATATTGTTAACCATAAAACAGCAAATTGTTAAGTTAAATTTGAAAATTATAAATTAAAACTACATTTTAACATAAAACAACTAATTTAATAAAAAAAAAACAAAATTATAACATAAATATACACTAAGAGAAAAAAAGGGATTAATATTTAGAAGAGAAAAAACATTAGATAAGAGCAAAATATTAAAACAAAATAATATAAAAAGAATGTAATAATTATAATTTTTTGTGCATGCAATAAAATGAATGAAAATAATCAAATTGTTGCTATAAATTTATTCAAAAAGATCATAATAAAAATACATTTAAAAGGTAAGTAAAGTACTGGGTCTTTGAGAAAATAAGCTTAAACTGTGATCACTTTTATTTTATATCAAAAATCAATCATTTAAGCAGAATAATCAATATTTTGTATGAAATTGTTGATCAAACCTAAAAACCCTTATAACTCAGTAAATACTGGGTTTTTTGAGAAAATAAGCTCCATCTGTGATCACTTTTATTTTATATCAAAAACCAATAATTTAGGCAGAAAAATCAATATTTAGTATGAAAATGTTGATCAAAGCTAAAAACCCTTTTAACCCAGTAAATACTGGGTTTTTTGAGAAAATAAGCTCAATCTGTGATCACTTTTACTTTATATCAAAAATCGATATTTTAGGCAGAAAAATCAATATTTTGTATGAAAATGTTGATCATACCTAAAAACCCTTATAACTCAGTAAATACTGGGTTTTTTGAGAAAATAAGCTCAATCTGTGATCACTTCTATTTCATATCAAAAATCGATATTTAGGCAGAAAAATCAATATTTTGTATGAAAACGTTGATCAAACTTAAAAACCCTTATAACTCAGTAAATACTGGATTTTTTGAGAAAATATGCACAATTTGTGATCCTTTTACTTTATATCAAAAATCGATATTTTAGGCAGAAAAATCTATATTTTGTATGAAAATGTTGATCATACCTAAAAACCCTTATAACTCAGTAAATACTGGGTTTTTTGAGAAAATAAGCTCAATCTGTGATCACTTTTACTTTATATCAAAAATCGATATTTTTAGGCAGAAAAATCAATATTTTGGTATGAAAATGTTGATCAAACCTAAAAACCCTTATAACTCAGTAAATACTGGGTTTTTTGAGAAAATAAGCTCAATCTGTGATCACTTTTACTTTATATCAAAAATCGATATTTTGTTGTTCAAACATAAAAACCCTTATAACTCAGTAAATACTGGGTTTTTTGAGAAAATAAGCTCAATCTGTGATCACTTTTACTTTATATCAAAAATCGATATTTTGTTGATCAAACATAAAAACCCTTATAACTCAGTAAATACTGGGTTTTTTGAGAAAATAAGCTTAATCTGTGACCACTTTTACTTTATATCAAAAACCGATATTTTAGGCAGAAAAATCAATATTTTGTATGAAAATGTTGATCATACCTAAAAACCCTTATAACTCAGTAAATACTGCGTTTTTTGAGAAAATAAGCTCAATCTGTGATCACTTTTACTTTATACCAAAAATCGATATTTTAGGCAGAAAAATCAATATTTTGTATGAAAATGTTGATCAAACCTAAAAACCCTTATAACTCAGTAAATACTGGGTTTTTTGAGAAAATAAGCTCAATCTGTGATCACTCTTACTTTATATCAAAAATAGATATTTTAGGCAGAAAAATCAATATTTTGGTTGAAAATGTTCATCAAACATAAAAACCCTTATAACTCAGTAAATACTGGGTTTTTTGAGAAAATAAGCTCAATCTGTGATCACTTTTATTTCATACCAAAAATCGATATTTTAGGCAGAAAAATCAATATTTTGTATGAAAATGTTGATTAACCTAAAAACCCTTATAACTCAGTAAATACTGGGTTTTTTGAGAAAATAAGCTCAATCTGTGATCACTTTTACTTTATATCAAAAATCGATATTTTAGGCAGAAAAATCAATATTTTGTATGAAAATGTTGATCAAACCTAAAAACCCTTATAACTCAGTAAATACTGGGTTTTTTGAGAAAATAAGCTCAAATCTGTGATCACTTATACTTTATATCAAAAATCGATATTTTAGGCAGAAAAATCAATATTTTGTATGAAAATGTTGATCAAACATAAAAACCCTTATAACTCAGTAAATACTGGGTTTTTTGAGAAAATAAGCTCAAATCTGTGATCACTTTTACTTTATATCAAAAATCGATATTTTAGGCAGAAAAATCAATATTTTGTATGAAAATGTTGATCAAAACTAAAAAACCCTTATAACTCAGTAAATACTGGGTTTTTTGAGAAAATAAGCTCAATCTGTGATCACTTTACTTTCATATCAAAAATCGATATTTAGGCAGAAAAATCAATATTTTGTATGAAAATGTTGATTAAAACTAAAAACCCTTATAACTCAGTAAATACTGGGTTTTTTGAGAAAATAAGCTCAATCTGTGATCACTTTAATTTCATACCAAAAATCGATATTTAGGCAGAAAAATCAATATTTTGTATGAAAATGTTGATTAAAAACTAAAAAACCCTTATAACTCAGTAAATACTGGGTTTTTTGAGAAAATA